TGAGACAACCAATGGAAGAAAGAAGAGTAACCATCTCCCGTGCAAAAGTAGCGGTAGATTTTCCTGCATCCTTTATGCTGATGGCTTCAATGAATCCCTGCCCCTGCGGTTTTTATAATCACCCCGAAAGAGAATGTACTTGTCCGCCAGGAACAGTTCAGAAATATTTAAATAAAATCTCAGGCCCTTTATTAGACAGGATTGATCTTCATGTTGAAGTAACACCAGTTGCATTCAGTGAATTATCTTCAATTAAACCTGCAGAACATTCATCCGTAATAAGAGACAGAGTAATTATCGCTAGGGAGGTTCAATCAGAACGCTATAAAAATCATCCCGGAATATATTGCAATGCGCAAATCAGTACAAAAATGCTCAAAGAAATTTGTGTTATCAGTACAGTTGGTGCAAACCTGCTAAAAGTGGCTATGGAAAAACTAAATCTTTCTGCAAGAGCTTATGACCGGATACTTAAAGTATCAAGAACCATTGCAGACATTGCTCAAAGTGAAGATATAAAACCGGAGCATTTAGCAGAAGCGATACAATACAGGAGTTTGGACAGAGAAGGATGGGCAGGATAGTTAATTTTCAGTTATCTGAAATCGTATTGTTCTAAAAACATTACTATTTCATGCTGATTTGTCACTTTTGAGAAAGTTGTACGATGTTTGCCCCTTGTCAAATATGTTTTATAACAAATTATTTGAATCAGATTTAACCATAACCTTTCATTATATATGAAATTATTATTACATTACCTGAAACCACATAAATGGCTGGTAAGCTTTGTTCTTCTTCTGGCCGCCATTAATATCAGTTTCTCATTAGTGGACCCTTATATTTTTGGTAAACTGATTGACCTTGGTTATAAGTATAGTAAAACACCCGGAGATTATCAACCCTTCTGGTGGGGATTTGCAACACCGCTACTCACTTTATTGGGAGCATCTATCGGCGTGGCAATGGTAAGCAGAATAGCAAAAGCATTCCAGGATTATTTTCAAAACAAAGTAACGCAGAAATTTGGTGCTGCTGTTTTTACAGAAGGATTAAAGCATGCCATGAGTCTCCCCTATCATGAGTTTGAAGACCAGCGCAGCGGAGAAACCCTAAGCATTTTACAAAAGGTGAGAATAGATACTGAAAAATTTATTGCCTCGTTCGTTAACATACTTTTTCCGGTTATAGTAGGTATTCTGTTTGTTGCCATATTTGCTTACACAATTGATCCCGCACTCCCACTTATTTATTTCGGTGGAATTTTATTACTGGTAATTATTTCTAACTTATTAAGTAAAAAAATTAAAACCGTACAAAAGAAAATTGTTGCTGAAACTACATCATTGGCAGGAGCCACTACCGAATCACTCCGCAATATTGAATTGGTAAAAAGCCTTGGCCTTACCACACAGGAAGTAGAAAGACTTAATAAGAACACTTATAAAATACTTGGCTTAGAATTGAAAAAAGTAAAACGGTTACGCAGTATCAGTTTTATCCAGGGAACTTTTGTAAATACTTTAAGACAGGTTATCCTTTTCCTGCTGATGTGGATGATTTTTAAAGAAAAAATGCAACCCTGGGAACTGGCCACTATGCAGATATATTCCTTCTTTGTATTTGGCCCTTTACAGGAAATTGGGAATATTATTCTTACATACCGGGAAGCACAGGCTTCATTGGAGAATTTTGGCAGCCTGATGAACAAAGCACCAGAAGCTAAACCAGAAAATCCTGGTCATTTAGGCCAAATCCAAACTTTGGAATTTGATCATGTAGCATTCAAGCATCAAACTGCTTCACAAAATGCACTGAACGACATTAGCTTTAAAGTAAATACCGGTGAAACTATTGCTTTCGTTGGTCCCTCCGGTTCCGGAAAGACTACACTGATGAAACTATTGGTAGGACTTTACAGGCCTCAGAATGGAAAAATATTATACAACGGTATTGATGAAAACAACATTGACTTTGAAGACCTTCGAAACCAGATCGGTTTTGTAACTCAGGATACTCAACTATTCTCCGGGAGCATCAAAGAGAATTTGTTATTTGTAAATCCATCGGCAACTGAAACAGAATTGAATGATGTACTAAATAAAGCAGCCTGTCAGAATCTTTTATCAAGAGCTGAAAAAGGATTAGAAACAATGATTGGTGAAGGTGGACTAAAATTAAGTGGTGGCGAAAAACAAAGACTTTCAATAGCAAGAGCCTTATTACGTAAGCCAAAATTATTGTTATTTGATGAAGCCACTTCTGCGCTGGATTCATTGACTGAAGAAGAAATTACAGATACCATCCGTGATATTTCGATGCAAGGAAGCCAGGTTACCATTCTGATAGCACACCGGTTATCTACCATTATGCATGCAGACAGGATCTATGTTTTGGAAAAAGGCGATGTAGTAGAAACAGGCAATCATGAAAAACTATTAGCTGAAAAAGGACTTTATTATGCCATGTGGCGCCAGCAAATCGGTGAAAGAAAAACTAAAATAAATGTTGCATAAAATATGGGACTGTTTTCGTTCATGAATTTTGAGTCAGGTAAACTCAGAAAGGCATTACAAAAAGGAGCCATTATTATAGATGTGAGAACAGGACCTGAATACGACAGGGGGCATATTCCTGATGCCTTTCATATACCTGTGGACAGAATTAAAACCAATGCTGCAAGGCTAAAAGAAACCAATCAACCAATTATTTTATGTTGCAATACCGGTGACCGTAGCAACACCGCCATGCAGATACTAAAATCGAAAGGAATAAAACAAGTTTACAATGGCGGTAATTGGGAGAAACTATTAATGACGATGAAGCAGCTTTAAAATTTATTTTTCTTCTTTTTCATCTTTCCCGGGCCACAGATCTTTGATGAATTTAAATTTTTCCGGTTCTTCAATTCCACTAAGTTCCAGTTCCAGTGCTTTTGTGCTTTGTATTATTTCAACCAGTGAAATCACCAATGAAATCAACAGACTTAGCAAGCTAACACCAAAAATATACCGGGAAGCCAATACCCATTCGTTATAGATGCAATACATAGTAATAACTGCACACAAAAAACTAAATACACCAAGCGTTTGCATATATCTTACTAAACGCAGCCTGACCCTAAGACTGCGAATTTGCTGAAGTAAAATTTTATTTCCCCCGACAGATACGTATTCATCATGAAGTTTACGAACTAGGCTGGCCAATGCCAGGAAACGATTGGTATATGCCAGCAATAACAAACTTATTGCCGGGAATAATAAAGCTGGTGTATTGAATGTAATTTCCATACTGCAAAGTAATACCAAATTGAAATACATTTTAGTTCAATATTTGGCAATAACACGACAGAAAAACAATGAATTATTCTAATTGATCCGAACTATTTTTTTTAAGTTTGGGATAAAGCAAAAAAATAGCCCTTAGGATTATGGGCTATTACAGGAAAGATTCGATGGTGTTATTTAATGGTGAACTCCAGTGGAATATTAAGCTTAATGGAAAAATTTCTTCCCGTATTAAAAACTCCTGTCCGGCCGGTTGCATTGTTTATACCTGCATACTTCAGGCGGCTTAGATGATGCTGATAAGCGACATCAGTTAAATTACTAACACCCAGATAAATACTGAATAATGTTTTCTTCTTATTTATAACATCACTGCCAATTCCTGCATTCAGCAATGAATAACCACCCGTTGCAGTTTCAGTATCATAACCACTAAAGTAATTGTCTTGCCTTAATGTACTATTCAATTCAATTTTGGAATAAAAATTTCTAAATAGTTTTCCGGCTTTTTTAAAATCCGCTCTCAGTTCACTGTTCCAAATGGGTGCAGGTATCAACGGCAGGTTATTACTTCCTGGGAGATTGCCATCAATTGTATTATCAAACTTTCCCCGTACAAAAGAAAAATTATTTTCGAAATGCAGCCAATCCAACGGATGAGGATGTAAATCCAGGGATATTTCTATACCTGCCAGCATTGCATTATTCTGGTTAAAATTAAATGCGGGAATAAAATCCCCGCCATTGTCTACCAGCGAATCTCCACCTGATGCAGATACAAGTTTGCGATAGAAAATAAAATTATTTATCCGGTTATAAAATGCTGCCATTCCAAAACTAAAATGTTCATAATCAAAATCTATTCCTCCATCCAACTGAAAACTGGTTTCGGATTTTAATTCATTTTCCCCATACTCATACCGGTTAGTACCTTCATGTGCCCCATTACTCGCAAGCTCTGCCAACGTAGGTGCTCTGAAACCCCGGGCAATATTTGCTTTTATGGTAATATTATCATTAGGTTCAAGGCTCACACCCACACTTCCGGAAACATTTGAAAAATTACGGGTAAAGGGAGTAAACTTGATTTCGCTTCCTTCAGAAAACCCTTTTGAATCAACTGAACGATTATCAAACCGGAGCCCCCCGCTTAGTGTACCCTTTTTAAAGAACCGTTGTGTATATAAAAATGCTCCGATATCAAACGAATTGTACTCTGGAATCAACACTTCTTCTCCTTTATTCCGGTTAGTCTGGCTCATGCCGGAAATTCCAAAAGTCGTATGCCACTCCTTTATCTTCGTCAGCTGAAACTGAACATTATAATTAAGTGTTTTTAAATCAAAAAAGAGGCTTTTTTCTGCGGGATCCTTCGGATTACCAAATTCCTGGCGGATATTATTCTGATACCCAAGATTAACTTTAAGCCGGTTTTTTTTGAAAGCAAAATTGTTATCAGAAACTATTTTATTATGCTGCACCCTTTGCTGTGGCATAAACAAATCTCTTGAATTAAGTTCCTGATTTGTTGCTACTCTTTCAAGAGATGTACCGCCATATAATAAAAACTGACCGGTTGTATTATCTCTTTCGCCTTCAACCAATCCAAGCCGCTGATCATACCGGCTGAAAATAAGATGACTGTATCCCCAACTTTTATTAATACCGGCATATCCTCCAAAATTCTTTTCATTAAACCCGGAGTTCAGTACTTTGCCATCATATTTATTCTGGTAATTTCCTGCAGATTTATGTGTGCCATAAAGATTCCAGTTAAACCCATTTTTATTACCTGCAAGACTTCCATTAATTCCGAAAAGTCCGTTATTACTTTGATAATTGGTAAGTATATTACCTTTTAATGCGCCTTCGGCAACAGGAATATTGGTAATGAAATTGACAACCCCTGCCATAGCATCACTTCCATACATCAATGAAGCCGGGCCTTTTAATACTTCTGCTTTTGCCACACTCATTTCATCAATTTCAATTCCATGTTCATCACCCCATTGTTGCCCTTCCTGACGAATACCATCATTAATTGTAACAACACGATTATACCCCAACCCTCTTATTACCGGCTTCGAAATGGAAGGACCGGTAGCTATCTGCGAAACCCCGGGAATATGGCTTAATGCATCAATAATATTAGATGATGGTGTTTGTAATAATCCTGATCTTCGGATAGAAGTAACAGGTACAGGGGTCTTTCTGATACTGGTAGCACCAGAAACACCGGTAACTATGACTCCCTGGTTTTCCAGAATAATCTGTGATAAAACAAAATCCTTTTCCGTATCCGCATTCAACTCCAGGTGCTCAACATAATTACCGTAACCTGTGTGAGAAACTTCCACTACATGATGACCAGTTGGAATATTTTTAAATATATATTTCCCCTGTTCATCAGCATAACCTCCTATCTTGTCTTCAACAAAATAGATCGACGCCCCGGGTAATGGTTCACCGGTTTTTGCATCAGTAACTTTACCTTGTATTGTCACTTTTATTACATAAGAGCTACCTTTTTTTCCAGTATTGTCTACCAGTTTTTCCTGAGCAGTAACGGATAACTGAATGAACATGAAAAAAGGTAATAAGTAATTTGCGTTGATTTTTTTAAATGTAACCATGTTGCAAATATAAAATGCAACAGCGTTTCAAACAAATTTATTTTACACCTCTGGAAACCTATACTCAAACACTTATTTGGTCTTATTATTGCTAAAAGTGTGGCGTCCGAAGATTCAAATAAATCTTAAATTTACTTATTACCAAATACTTGATAATGCGAAAAATATTAATCCAACCTGTGTTAATTATTGCAGTTTTTGCATTATTAAATTCCTGTAGTAAATCAGATATACCTGCACCACCTGCAGTAGATCCCTGTAAAGGAGTAAGCTACAATGTTCAGTTCTTTAAAAAGGAATCAATCGGTACCAATAATAATGGGAGTATCAGCATTTCTTTTCCCGTGGGAGATACCATCACTTACCAGCTAGGCAATGGTGCTTTCCAGGCCTCGCCAAATTTTACAAGCCTTGCCCCTGGAAATTATATACTAACAGTAAAGAACAACAAAGGCTGTACCGACACGGCTCAAATATCTATACTGAATTATGGGCCTAAATATGCATTGGTAAAACAATTGATCAATGGAAATGGAAGTGGTTATTGCGGCCCCTGCCACCTGAGTGGCGGCAACAGTGGTGGTAAAAACTTTGATACAGATGCGAGTATTATTAGTAGTTGGGACAGGATCAAAGCAAGGGCAGTGGATGGCAATCCCTCTTTTATGCCTGCAGCACCAAACAGCCAACTAACCAATCCTGACAAACAGAAAATTATTGATTGGGTGAATGCAGGGCACCGGCAGAGTGACTAGAATGAGTTGTAAAAAGGAACTTTGAGATTTAAGCAGTTAACACGAATAATTCAACCATTCCTAAAACCACATCTCCGGTATTTCGCCTTCCACTATCAATTTACCGGCTGTTTTAGATACAATTTCTTCAACTGTAATGCCAGGTGCTCTCTCTAATAAT